TACCAAACCGAGAAAAATACTACCTAATATTACCCTGCGTATATTTACTGCACTCTTTCGCAAATACATTTTTATCCTGTCGGAATTTGCAAAATATATTTTTACATAGTAAAACCATCCTGCCGCAAATACAAAAAACTCGCCTTAACTATGGGCTCTGCCGGAATATCAAGAATAATATATAGGTCCCCAGATCCATCCTAAAAAAATAATACCAAACCGAGAAAAATACTACCTAATACTTCCCTACGCATATTTACTTTATCCAGCCTTAAGAACAAAATAAGATTTCTTCCTATAATAAAGCAATTCTGCCCAAAATATAAAAATCTTGCCTTAACTATGGGATTCTTCTCGCACTATGAAATATATTTTCCCATAGTAAAATATTTCAGATGAAAAGACAAAACTCTCGCCTTAACTATGGTATTTTGTTAAAATTAAAAATGTAATAGTAACTCCAATTGCTCAATTTAAAATCTAATATACACAATTCGATGCTTGTGAATTCAGATCTGGTTGTAATTTTTCACCATCTCAACTCTATCTCCTCTTATCCCCACTGTCACAATCTAATATTCACATTTGCCTTAAACTCATATATCCCACCAAAATAATAATCTACTATCTCATTTATTTCAATAATCTAAATCAACACAAATAATTATCCCAATCTTCCTACTCACATTCTAATATTGGTACTACTACAAGTTATAATAACTGATCTATCATTATATATATGTATCTATCATTATACTGTTGTATCTATTTCGACACCTGGATATTAAACTACCTTATATTATTATCATATATAATTTAAAACACACTAAATTATATATATTCCCACCTCATAAGATTTTAAGATCCCTCTAACAGAAATTCAAACCAGAATAATATCAGTTTCTACCATTCTCATTTCCATTTTTCTGTCACAGAACTAATTCATTTAATATACTTTCAATAGCATTATATCAATTTACATCTATTCATAAAATTAACTTGTATAATTCAACTTATTTTATTATAACTCTTCTCTTTCTTATATATTAATATAAATAATTTTACAATTTTTAGTTCAAAATACAATTTTATATTTTGTAATATTTTTTCTTATATGAGTTTCATCTTTATCCAACTGATAATAAATAATATTTATAGCACTAAATATAAAACTAACAAAACATAAATCTCATCATTTTGAATTTTTTTATCCCTTTGTACTTAAGCGTAATCAATACCAAATCCTTATCACATAAGGATGTCATAAATTATATCACCGTGTTTTTAATAGAGGTGCAGTTATACCTAAATAGTAAGGTTACTGCGATTCAATGGAATAATTAGAATAACAATTGCCAAAACTAGCTTCAGTTACATTTATTGCTATAAAGAGTTATTATTGTATATTATTGTATATTATTTAGTATGCTAACTTGCATATAAAGAAAACATCAGTAACATTATTAATTAGTAGTATATTTACTCTCTAATACAGATCTCCACATTAAGTTTCTCTAGAATACATGAATAACTGACTTTATTCTAATGTACACCAAATTAACTATACAACTATATAATAATTAAAACTTACCAAATACTGGTCAAATAAGACATTACAGATAGACAGCATAATAAGGCCTCCACCAATTTTCTACAGTAAAATGCTTGCTGTAAGTTGTAATATATTTATATAAAAGTGATTTAACTATCATAAACTCTATCTAATATATAGAAGCAAAAGGATACCAACCACCAATTTAGTCATAATTATAATTTTAAGAAAGTGTATATTGTTATTTTATATACAGATCTCCAATTAAAATGCATACTATAGCTACATTGTATTCATATTCTGGTGTATCAATCCTTCACTTAGACATATGTTATATTTAAATATTTTGAACTTAATAAACATTTAATAATGTGATTGGTATTGTAAAATATGTTTTGCCTACCACTAATTTCAATACCAAATGAGCTGTAATATTAAATATATCTTAGTAGTAATAGTTTTATTAAGAGAAATAACTATCACTTTATATAGCTTAAACATTTCATATAATTATTCTAATTAGTTGCGGGTTATGCCTCTAATGCTAAACATCTTCCAAAACACAAAAGTCAATACCAACTAATAGTATAGGTTCCCAAGAGTGATTGTTTCTCGAAAAAAAGTTCAATTGGTTATATAACTTTCATATTCTGAATATTCATATTATTAATAATCGTGATATAAATCTATTAAATAACGTTCTAATATTTATTGTCTATAAACAAAGGAATGGACTTTATTTTCAAAATCCAATGTAATTATTTGATTGGTTAATAGATTAAGTTTTGTGAATAACATGGGAGTTACAAGTTCATATTTCATATTCTAGAAGAGTTGGTACTCCCCTATCAAATACAATATTCTAATATCCATCATAATATCACCAAATATTACTATATAGTCTAATATACTACACGGAATATTCATAACCAAATAATCCATACATATTAGAGCTCCACCTGGATTATAATACAATGTGACATTTATCAATCTTACCTCCTCAACCAATTCCTTCCCCCAAACATCTAATATTCTGTCATTTAACATTTGTATTTTTTCCAATTCCAATTCTACTACCACTTCCATCCAAAAAAGGAATAATTTTTATAAAATAGAACTTTAAAGCATACTTATATTTCAATGCACTGACTGTTTGATACCGAAATAAATCACTAACATTAATATTAGGCAAATTAGCATAATATTTTAATCAATTGTGGTAAGGTAAAATAAATATTTCAAATCTGAAATATAATACGAATATTACTTCAACACTAATTTGGGAAGGAAGTAAATTCAACTTGATCCATTTAATTAAAACTATTAATTCAATTATGAAGAAAAAACCATTTGGATGCTATAAATTACATTAACAGAAATTAAAAATATTTTCAGTTTGCAATAATATCTCATTGGTGATGCAATTCGAATTCAGGTTTTCGACATTTTTCTAAAACAATAAAATCGTATGGAAGTAATTGTACCATTGTTATATGTTAACACACACATAATCTAATAACATGGAACTGTTCGATATGTATTAGATGCTAACACTGCAACTTATCAAAAGGTATATGTTTCTGTTCAATACTAAATCTTCAATAACAATCCAATGTCTTCCTAGAATCCAGGATCCTGCTGCCAATGTGTATATTTCTGCCACAAAGAATTCACTTGAAAAATTGTACATATAATTTCAGAACTCAATCATAAATATAATATGGGCCGCTTCTTAATATTTCCCCGTCCTCTCATCCCCCCTCTTCTCTTCTGTTACCTGGCCAATTGGTCTTTTCTTTCTATCTCAATATTTCATCTCAAATACACGAATTAGCTTATACAGTCGAAGAGTAAACTGAAATATGTTTATGGTAATATCTCTATCATATATATATATATATAGTACATAATATATAAATTAAACTACACATGGATTAAACCCCATTCTACCTATGCAATGATACAGTTGCAAAATTCCTGGTTAGAACGCCAATTAATACATCATTAATAGTATAGCGAATTAAACAAAATCATGATGTAATATGACTAAAATTGGTATAAATGGGATTCTGTGATGATATGGATCTTGCAGAAAATGCAATTCTATAATAAGTCCATACTGAATTAAGTTTCAGCTAATAGCCTCTGAACGATAATTTTTTTCTATTATGTTCTATTTCTGCTTCTCAGTTTCTAATTAAGCCCAACATAAGTACGATAATCAAATATATATCATTCTGTGTTAACTATATTCATATTTCTTATAGATGTCTTATAAATTTATAACATTGAAGGAATGCTTATCATAGGTACTTCCAACTCAATTTTACCTAGCTGCTTCTGCAAAACTTCTCTTACCAGTGTTGGATTCTGGGAATCAATAGATGCAAACCAGTATACCAGCAAAACAACAAATCAGCATATAATTAGACCAATTGGATGGAATTGGTAAGGCATCTATAGGGATAGTTTTGTATGTTAATAAAACTATTCTCACCCTTTAGTTATTCTTTCTATAATGATATGTAAGAACAACAGTTTTAGAGGTTTCTAACGTATAATTGTACTTATACCTTAGAACCAATCCAATCAATAATTTGTTTATACTATCCTAACTATGTCTCAATCTGGTACACAGTCTACCCCAACTGATGTTCCTCTATCCAAGGATACATACACCCTGTTGGTTTCGAATCTGCGCTCACAATCGACACTGTCACTATTGAATATTCTCTCGAATAATTGGCTTACTGTTATAGACTAACTTTTATTGTTATGCCATATTTTATTTAATAATCTTAATCTCCATGTCAACTTTACCTTCGATGCAAATTCCCATTATCTCACCTTAAATACAACTACTTTAACTACAACTATTTTAATTATCACCACTCTAACTATTACCTGCGACATTCATCCTCATTACCTTACGCCTTCACCTTCTTAATACCTTCCCTAACAAACATCACCGACCTTGAAAAACTTTTTCATTTTGTGAGCGAGATGAAAAGTTTAATCTTTTCAGGGTGAATCACGAATTACAAGAATATTAAAAAGAATATTTCACTTTGGCTTAGAATTGAGATATCAGCTTTGGTGGAGTTTGATGGCCTTATGAAACAGAGCCTGACATCATTGGATCGTGGCATTGCCACGATTATCTGGTCTGGTTATGACAATGAATGGTCCTATAAGTAATACACATCGACATCACAACAAAGATTTAAATCAATTTTAATATACACAGTTAATATATCTCCAGTACAAACTTAACTAGTATTTTTTCTAGGATGTTTGAGTTCTAATACAAATTTAGGATAATAATAATATAATGGCTGACATATGTTGACATTACGCAAATTCAATGTTTTAATATTTATCCAGGTCCTCTGTAGTTTCATCCACTGGTGGAACATTTTTACATTAGGCAACTGGGTATAGAAGTTGTTCAAAATGTTTCGAGATGTAACATTATAGAGAGACCAAGTATCATCAATAGAAATTTCTTATTATCAATAACAAACAAATCTAAGTCAATATTACCAAATTTCGAACGTTCCCTCATATCTTCAATTTCATTATAGTTTGAACATTCACTAACTTTTTTGAAATTAAATAGTGATTTAAAAAATTTAAAACTGGTATCCTCAGTGGCCTTAAATGAAACGCTTGCATAATCGCTGAATTTCGATCGAACAAGTTTCCTATAATATACTTCATATGGTTCGTCCCATAATGTTGTAGCATCACGACATGACCCATCATAGAAATACCAAAAGACATCTAACTTTTCATCCTTAAGCTTTTTCCACTGCCAGTTATAAGTTGATACAATTAATCTGAAATCAAGAGATTTATTCACTTCGAGAATATTCCCGTTGGTCACAAATTTACAATATCCAGATAGATTTGTCTTAAATAACTCTTTCATGGAAGATTTTCTTTCAACAAAAGATAGTGTTCTTTCTAATAGACTTGAATTCGTTAATTTATTTATTTTAGCTGAAAACATTTCATCAGTCATAGCCATTTTCATAAAAGCAAAACAGCTAATACCACATTGCTTTAGAGTGAATTTTTTGTCCCAACAGTAACAGATACCATCAGTACCTGTACAATCAGAACATAAATCAGAATCATAATAAACAAAATCAGAATCATAAAGAAGAAAATCAAAGTAGGATTGTTCGACACCATCAGCAATCAAAGCTGACTTAGAATTTCCAGTAATTCCTAAGAATTCAAAAATATTACGTGCATTTTTAAATTTTGCATGTAAATCTTCTTTCAAAGTAACTTTAATATTATTTTTGACCATTTCATTATGAAACTTTTTATTTGAAGGAATCATTTCATTCGTTCCTGATGTACAAAATTTTCTCTTTCTAATAACTTCCTCAACACTCGATTTAATAATTTCATTTCTTTCCTCTATCAACCCGTTAATTTTTTTTCCCTTCTTCTTACCTAACACTTCCAACAACCTATCATTATTATTATTATTCAAAAATTTATATGAACCACAACAAGATTCATGCTCAGATATATTTGCTAGACCATAGAAACTACTCATTTGGCTCACGATACACTTGGAATTGATGGAGAATTCATCTCTACATGCTTCATTCCACAGTGTAATACATGCACTCTCCCCTCTAATTCTTCCAGCAGTCTGGATATATTCGTGAATTTGAGGAAGATAATTAACCAAAATAACATATTTCAATTCTGGAATATTAATACCTTCTGAAACCAATTTAGTTCCAACAAGAATTTTTTTTTCTTTGTTCTTTTTGAATCTGTTGAATGAAATGGTTTTTTCTTCAGATGTTAATTTTCCATGAACATAACAAGAAGAAATATTGTTATTAACCAAATTTTGATTTATAATCTCCACCATTTCCCTTTCCTTACGAACAAGAATGATTTTGGGATTATCAATACTCTTAATAATTCCTTCAACCAATTGCAAAGTCAAAGTAATGGATTCAGATCTGTCTTTAGTAAGAATGAATTCCTTATCTATTCTACTTAAAGGAACATTCTTAACAAAATTATACCAAAGAATATTTTTGTTATCAGTAACATCATAGGTCAAATCTTGCCTATATCCCAAAAATTTAGTCACTTCTCCCATCATACTCTTCCCGACAGTACCAGACAGAAGTAAAACTTTCCAAGCTTTGTCAAAACAGATATTAGAAATATTAAAAAAAGAGTCCATACGATATTCCTGTTCACAAACAAGATTGTGAGCTTCATCGACAATCACCATACCAAGTATAGTGTTCTGAAAAATGTCATACCAATTATTGATTAAATTCAAGAACTGTTCTTTTCCGAAGTCATGAAAAGTTCCAAAATAAACGTCACAGGTAAGCTCTGATTCACCACAAAATCCACGATTGCGCAGAATATCTTTAACTTCACCAATTTTCAAAGTACCAGACAGCTTAAAACGATCCATAATATCGTCTAAAAGACAGCTATATGGCACAAATACAAAAGAAACAAAATGCTTATTCCTTTTGCTAGTGGAAATAATATTTAAAGGTATTTCAAAAATAGCCGTTTTACCAAATCCAGGAAGTGCTTGCACTGGAATAATATCAGAGGAACCAAAACAAACATCAACACAAAGTTCCATCTGTTCTGGTTTAATCTTAAATAAGTCTCCATAAATTTCATCACATTTAGCAATAATGCCTTTCATGTTACCACTTACTAGGAAATTAGGCTTCTCTTTATTTAATTTTACATCTTTAGGAACCAAATTTGAAACTTCATATCCAAGACCCAGTAATTTTATCCAGGATTTGGAAATGAAATATCCATATATTGTTGTTGTGGTATTTTGATATCCTGCCATACCCGTAGAATTAACGCCATATCTCTGGATGTCTGTCGACAAAGAGTGACCAGCCTGTCTTGCGACTGCTGGATCAATACGCATACCGGTATCATCGACAGATAACTCATATCTTTGAATACCAATAATTGCATGTCTTAAGGCCCTAAAATTATAGCGTAAGTTTTCAAGTTCGCATGAAGGATAGTGTTTAATAAGGAAACTAAACTTATTATAATCGATCAAAGTCCCTCTAATCGGATCAACAAATAAATAAGAATCTAATACTTGAGAAGTGAATTCTTCATCACTTAAATCTTGTTGAGGTGTGAGATTAATAACGTCTGGATCCAAGTTACTCTCTGAACTTATTTCATTTAGTAAATCACGATTCATAACATAGTTCATCTCATGACTATGCAGACGCATAATGGGAAATAAAACCAAAATTGCGTAGATAATATAGTCTGAAGCCAACTCATCGACGACCTTGCATATAGGAATACGGGATTTATTTTTTGAATAAGTAGTAATGAGCTCAACTGTTTTATCAACAGGATTAATGAACAGATTTCTTGCATTACCAGCAAACTTAAGTACTCTCATTTCTGGAAACCTATATGGACCACCAGATGAAATGTAGATCATCAACATTAAACAAGTTAGACAATCGACAATAAGATTAATTATTCTATTATTATCATCTTCAGTATAGGAACCAATTGTTGGAATTACAGATAACTTAGTATCTCTGTTAAACAAATCAGTAATACTTATCTTTGGCTGATCTCTTCTTTCAAAGGGAACACATTTGGGGGATTTGATTGTCATTTCTGCCACCACAGATATATCTAGAAGATCTTTGTAATAATGACCTAGATCTTTTAACTTACTATCGAACAAATGTTTAGCGTCGCTATAAAGATCAACTAAATATTCTTTTTGAAATACCTTACCATCTAACAAATATTTCCCAGGACCTAGAGGTATAAAGAAATGTCCAGAAACATCGGTTATTTCTTTGAGCAGATTCTTATAAGTATCTTTAATTAAACAGTAGGTCATGCTTTGATCAGAGTCGTTAGAAGATGTAAATAATACTAACGTACTTGAAATATTCTTTAATTGAACACTACGGAATAGAGTTGCGTAAGCTGTCCAACATTTCAAGGAATCTAAGAAATACCGAAACTTCTCGTACGATATAGTAGGAGGTAACCTCTTACATGGTTTATTCCAATCAAAACAGGATAGACGGATCATCAATTGTAGGAATTCCCTATATTTTACATCACCAGTAATAATAGCATAAAATATTTTACTAATCTTGGTAATTAGATTGTCAGAACAATCATAAGAAGGAATAGGTATATTTTTAGTTAATTCTAATCTTGGAAATACCTCAATCATATATAGGAAGTTGGCAAACCTTGTTCCATATAACTTTAATGTATTGCCGGTCAACTTCTTTGGGAATGGTTCTCGATTAGCAGGATTCGAAAAAGAACTAGTTGATTCTATACAGGCATTATTCTTTCTGACATTAGAATACATTTCATTCAAAATATTAATTGATTCTTTTTTCATTTCAAAATAGTATTCACCAAAGTCTTTTAAGATATTTAAATCATTATCACAAATATCCATTTCATATACATTCATAAATTCCGTAAAAAAATCGGTCACAACACGATTGATATTAGTTGTCAAAGAGCAATGTTCTGAATAAATAGCTGCACCATTAATCTTCTTATAGTAGAGATACTTGATAACACTATGACGTTTTCTAAGTGGGATGACCGTATAAGTTTTAGTTTCTCTTTCTTTCTCCTTCTTACTACGATCTGTAAACAATACTAAATTCCTATTGTCCCAATAGTAACGTCTTGTAATGGTGTCACAATAATCAAACAATTCGGTTGAGTAGCAAGGAATCATTTCAGAATGTTTATTTGTTTCACGTAATTCATCTAAATTGATTAAGTCATATTTTTCAATTTCTGTTCTTTCATCATCCCTAATAAAACCTTTACGAAAATTAGCATCAACAATCTTACGAATGACATTTCCATTCTTCTTTTCAGTGTGGATTAAGAATCTATCAATGATTGTGTATCTTTCAGATATTGTAATGATATTAGATGTGGTAGTTGGAACGGAGGACATTTTTAATAATAATTTGAAAACTTTAGTTAATTTATTCTTTTGATGATAAATATCTGTTAAGGAGATTGTAGTGATCTTAACTAAGTAGAATATATATAACATGTTTAGCTAAAATAACACACCAATAGACTATAAACAACAAATATCTTGTAAATATATATATATTACAAAATAAATATTCATACGCATATCAAAACAATATTGTTTGTTTATTTTAATATTCTATCTCGACAAGAAAAATTTAAAACACGAAAAAATTTTCAGTTCCGTCGAAATTTATTCCCTAATGCTTATCCCCGAGTCCGCTTTACTATTCTCACAAATTATCATCATCTCAGCTGAACTACGGAATCTTGAAAAACTACTCTAAACAACCACGCTTAATCATTGTGCTAACAAACAACAGCGACCCGAGAAAAACTGTTTTGTTACGGCCCTTCTCAAAGACTATAAAGCGACGCTACAACTCGTCTCTCCTTCGCTTTACTCAGATCGCACTAAACAAAAGCACCGACCCGAGAAAAACTTAATCTGATAATAGTCTACTTACTTTTACTTCCTTCAGGAGGCAGAAGCCGAAAATATCTTCGCTTAGTGAAGCCAAGCAGCCAGTTGTAAAAAACTAATATAGAGATGCGGCCGAAGGAACAACATTTTAGGACTAGTTGATGTTTCTACAGACAAAAACCGTGGGAATCAGGTTGGACAAACGTAGATCCTAGTGTTTGGAACGTTATGGTACTTTGTAACATAAATAGTGGTCAATATTAAACATGTTTCTCAATATATTAATTCTATTTAACTTGTAAATACTATGTATTTTAATATTTTGTAATGTTTTTATTGAATATACTTCTAGAACAACTTTTAATAGAACCAATTAGTGACTGAAAGCTCCAAATGTAGTAAGAAATATAAATATTAAAAAACTAACTTCAATTAAATTTCGTCATATAAAATAAACATCTAAGAGTTCCATCAACTACTAATAAATTTAAGTTCAGTAATAATTCATCGCCTGAATAAAAAAGTGGTATGTTTGTTTGCGCAGGTTCGAAACCAGGACGGCACCTATTTCTTGAGATTGGAATAGGTGAGTGTTATTGGACTGTTGATCAGGGTGGGACATGGTTGTACTGGAGTGATAGTGGATATATTAACTGAGATCTAAGGTATAAGTACAATTATACGTTAGTTGTTTATTCAAGCTCTTGGTTTTTTATAAATTCTAAATATAGTATACAAAATATAAAATATAATTTAGTTCATAAAGTGAACATTAGAAAAGAGAAAATATTTTCTAGAAACTTGAAATCTGGTCTGCTTATATACCTTTTGAAAACTAACAGTTACCCTGAATGTGTTCCTGTCAGCAAAGTATATCTTTCAGACATAGGGTTAGATCTGGATAACTTAAGATTGTCATCTACTGATTCCCAGAATCCAACAGCCCCCCGGAAGCTTTAGATGCAAGCTTTCCATAATAAATTAATTCTGTATGTTAATTTATTAAGTAGTTAAATTTGAGACTAATTCATCTCTTAAGGTTTCAAATTGGGATTTAGCTAAAATTTTAGTTAGGATATCAGCCTGTTGGTCTTTTGTATTAACATATTCCAAATCAACAATATCCTGTTCCACTGCATGTCTGATTTTGTGATATCTCAGTGCGATATGTTTAGTTCTTGGATGCATTACTGGATTCTTACTTAACTTAATTGCTGGTTCATTGTCAACATATAATTTTGTTTTGTTTAGTGTGAGATCCATAAC